ACAAAAAAACGCAGAAGGTCAAACTCAGCCTGGGCAACATTTGGCAACATAGTGAGACTTCATCTTGAAAATAAAAATAAGAATTGCAGGGATTGATTGGAGTGGGGTCATTTGTGCAATCTTAGAAACACGCATATGTGAGAAACACCTTTTGTCAGAGGGCAGCTATTATGTAACTAAATGTTTCTGTAACTAACCGACAATGAAAATATCAGATGTTAAACTTAAATACAATGTTTATTTTTTTAAAAAAATAATTTTAATAGGCATATATTGTAGAATTTGAAATTGTTAATTTTTGACTGTGACATTTTTCTGGTGAGAAAAAAAATTTCGATCTAAGGGAAGTGGCTGAGCATTTGTGGATGTTAAGAAATAACGTATGTAAAATGAAGTTGAAGCCAAACTATATTTTCATTTATGTTGATAAGGATGCTTTTGCTGTCTTGAAAAGACATACATGTTATTTCATTAAAGAGAAAGGTCATTTAAAAATGATTTTTACTTTCATTAGTCAGGCATCTGGAGAAAGTAAAAACCAGATCTTATCATATCCTCATTTAATGACATAAAATGGTGCAACAATCTCGGTTTTGCAAATTCAAAGGCCTCTGGCCCTATTCAGTAAACCTGAATGAGTAGAGCAGGCTGAATGTGAGGCACTAGTGATGGATGTTAATCAATGTCTTGCCTCCCCTAGGCATTCAAATTCAACTTAAAAACAAACAACAACAACAACAACAAAAATCTAGCTAAACAAATACCTCCAGAGGTGCTTGGGATTTATAACATGATACAAAGTAGTTTGTTTTTCATGATCTAGTGCTTAAGACTAGCTCTTCTTTGGGACAATTCAAGACCCTCCCTATACTGTCCCAGCTTACAATGAAACCCCAGGAGTCTTAAGCCAGAGGAATGTGTCAGAAAGTGAAAAAGGATTACCACCTTTTCGAAAAATTCAGCTTTGGAAAGAAGCCAATTGGTGGTGAGGGGTGGGGGTCACCATAAAAAGGATTAAGTTGCTACTGATTAGACTGTATGGTAAAAACATTATTTTTCTATTTCCAAAGTGGTTAATCAGTCAAGATAGTTGTAAACACATTAGACAGAAACACTGCCTTGTCTGTAAACTGAAACCCTGACTTCTTGTAAAAGTTCATACTGGCTTTCCGTTTTAATTGATGTTTAATTTTGTTGCAAAGATCTTTCCATTAGATCTTCAAAGAAACTAGTTATTGAAACATTATTATATGTTTATAACATCTAGCACTGTAGTTGAAAAAAGTTGGAATAACTAATTTTCTTAATATTACACCACGTATTTTCCAGTTTTTTGATAAATGTTAGCAAAAGACGAGATGATCTGCAAAGGAAAAGTGGGGAGCTTTATTTACTGTTAAAACAACAATCTCTAGACTAGGGAGGCACAGATTTTAGTAAAAGTGAAAGCGTATTTTCTGAAGAACAAAGGGAGAGTTTAGCTTAAATACGGAAAACTACCCGCTCAGTTGTCAATCAGGCCTATTTATGCAAATGAAGGATTCAAACTTGTTTAGTTCTGATTGGTCAAAATAGTAGAGTACTGATTGGGTGTTTTCTATGCCCCCAGAACTCTCTGTCAAACTTTTGATTGGGTGTTTTCTATGCCCCCAGAACTCTCTGTCAAACTTTTGATTGGGTGTTTTCTATGCCCCAAACGAGAACTCTGTGACAAACTTTTCTTTCAAAGGGCTGGTGAGGGGCGGTTTCCAGCTCGTTTCTCTTGTGTCTGGTTACAGGAACTGTTCTGACTCAGGGTGTAAAGCAAATGTTTGTGGAGCTGCTTTTTCCAAGAATGCACGTGGCTGCTCTTTCTCACTCTAGCAAGGCCACTTGCTTCTGTTTTTAAATTTAATCGTCCCTGTTAACCACAGGGACATCTATCTCCGCTGTGGAGCTTGAGTCTTATTTTACAGTTTTATTTTATATAGATTATATTTGAAAGTATTTTTGAAATTACGTCATGCCAAAGAAGCATGAGAGGTTGAAAAATGGATGTCTTGACTCAAAGACAAACATGGATTGAGTACATACTTTATGTGCCTGTTACCACATGTGCTGTTCATATATTTATTGCCTCATTTTCTCACAACTGCCCTGGAGATTGGTAGTCTTCCACGTTTCATAGTTGAGGCCACTGCATCTCAGATTTTTGAGAAATGTGTTAAAAAATACATTTTAATAAATATTAATTAAAGGACCTTTAGTTTGTTTTAGATGTTTGTTTTATTTTTGTAAAGCTACTGTCATTTGTTTTGCATGCCAGCCAACTCTTAGTTTAAGAAATAATAGCCTATATCATCTTATATTACCCAGATCTTGCGCTTAGCTGTGTGGTTCACTATGATCCACTGTAGTTGTTGGCCTATAACCTTAAAACATCTAGAAATATGCTTTCAGGAAGAAATGGAGAAAATTTCTTCTCTAGATTTTATTTTTATTTTTATTTATTTATTTTTTATTTATTGAGATAGAGCCTTGCTCTTGTTGCCCAGCCTGGAGTGCAATGGTGCACTCTCGGCTCACTGCAACCTCTGCCTCCTGGGTTCAAACAAGTCTCCTGCCTCATCCTCCCGAATAGCTGGAATTACAAGCACCTGCCACCATACCCGGCTAATTTTTGTATTTTTAGCAGAGACGAGGTTTCACCATGTTGACCAGGCTGGTCTCAAACTCTTGACCTCAGGTGACCCGCCTGCCTCAGCCTCCCAGAGTGCTGGGATTACAGAAGTGAGCCACCACGCCCGGCCTCTTCTCTAGTTTTTAATAAACATTTTAAGAAGAACAGAGTTATACCCTACAACGCATTCTTTAAGTTTGTGGGAAAACTTAATAAAAAAACAAAATGCTACACCTTTTTAGAGACTCAACATTCTTTTAAATATTGTCAGAGTCATCAGAGTTCAAATTAAACCTATGATAAAAAATGCTTTTGAAGCAACAACAGCAAGCAAAGCTTGAATTCTGGCCAGTGCTAGTTATGCTTCAGTAGGCGTCAGAATCAAAGAGGAGAGTTACAATGCAGATTCCTGGGCTCTACCACCCATTAGGTAGGACAGTGTGGAGCCTAAGCATTTGCATTTTTAACGATCTCCAGGGCGACATTGATGCTGCTGATCTGTGGACCGTGTTTTGAGTAGTACTTATTTAGGGATGACCTGGGAAGCATAGTATGTGTTAACAATTTAAATTATGTTTTTCAGAAAAATAATTTCAACTGTACCAGAAGAGCTCAGTGCCCAGAAACCAATATCAGTTCTATACAGATACAAGGTGATGCTGATTATTTCATCAACCATCTTGGAGTTCCCATCGTGCAGTTTGCTTATGAGGACATCAAAGCATTAGAGGTGATTGTTTCTAAAAAATGCAAAACACACACGCACAATATAGCAGACCTGCAGAATTTGGTTTTATCCTGGCTATTCAATTTTCATATCAAATAGTTCACTATAGAAAAGAGGCTTCATTTAGAGAGTTATTCTTGCTTTTTCAGAGGCTTTGCAATAGTATTTGAAAACATCAGCTCTTTTGAAAAGTGTTGAATTCAATTTGAAAAGATTTATACTGTCACTCACATTTTCACATGGTGCTCTGCAACAAGAAATTTGCAGTAGTTGGATTAACATCAAAACATAATTGTAATCTTCAGTATTCACAGAAACAGATGACATGTGCAATAGATTCTCCTCTCCTTGCCCAAAGGAAAATGCATTTCATGTTCTGTATGTTAATATGAGTCTTGTGGATTAGCTACCCAAAGTTTGTCAATAGTTTGCCTGCTTAGAAAAGATAGCACTTTTTTTTGTGAGGATGGAAGGATTTTTTTCCAAAGAATATCACAAAAGCATGATTCACCTTAATTAAGTCTCTGTTCATCCATCTTTTGGACTTCAGTCCTTCTAATCTTTCTCAGAATTATGTCTCAGGAAACTGTTTCTCTGTGGATCTAACCCTGTTGGGACACTTCACCTTCATTTACAAATCATTTATGCATTATTCGGAGCTATTTGAAAACCTCTAGAGTGGCTTGCTTGAGGTAATTATTGCATTAACAAAATAATGGCTGGAAAGTACAGTAAAACCTGCCTTGCTCTTCAAATATAAATGTTCCTCAGAAGGGGTGCATAAATTAGGTTTGTATTAGCTCAACTTCAGATATGCAACATCTTAATTATTAACAGCGTTGAGTAATATTTGGCTTTATGTTTCTCTGCAACCACACAGAAAATATTTTAATTCTTATTTATTATGTGTCTAATTCATCTTGGTTTAGTTTTAAGACAAGAATTTAGGGAGAATAGTATAGCCTTGGGAATGAGACAGAAGCCCTGACTCTGACACTTACTAGACAAATTATTTAACATCTTTCAAAATGATTTTACAAATGAAGTACTTTGGTATATTTATGGAATCTATAGAGCTGTGGTGAGGATTACATGAGACTATGCATGTAGAGGGTTTAGCTAAGCTTGAGCAGAAAAGAAGACCCCATTATTGCAGTTATTATTGTCTTATTGTAAGTACAACATATGAATGTGATAATTTCTAAACTTTTTAGATATGAACACATCAATAGAAGGCAGGAGTTTGTTAATTGTTGAGGAAAACAAGTTTATCAGGCTGAAGAGGTGGAATTTGATGAGGATCAACTGGAGGATCTGAGGTGTTAATAGGGAGAAGATTTTGAAACAGGGACCAGTGAAGTTCTAAGAACTGTATTATCCTAAGGCTAAAGTCTATCTACCAGAACTGGCTTAGTCTGAAGGAGTCAATCAGTTTTTCAAATTATTCCCAGAATATCTAACTCACACCATCAAAATAATTTGTATAATTTATCTCCAAAAAAGTAATTAAAATAGAATCCCCTATGCTTTATAACAAATGACCTTGTTGATACTGCTTTAGTGGAAGAATTTTTAAAATGGATTTGTCCCTTACAAAATGTGAATGCTTGAGATGAAATAATTTTGTATGAACTCTCTGAGGAACAGAGTAACCTTTGCTTTCTGTGTTAACCTATAATTGATATTGGTGTACAGCTATTAAGAGAAATTTTAAATATTAAAAAAAGGTTTTACCCATGATGTAAAAAATATTTGTCCTATGCCAATTAGTAAAGCAGGTAAGGAAATTAGAGCTTTTATATGAAGTTGCAGTTACAAATATATATGGAAAATAGATTGGTGGATTTGGAATTAGGAGGCCTGAAATTTTAAATCCCTTCATGTTAATGGCCCAGTTACATTGGTTTCTGGGCCTCTGCTTTTTTTAAAAAAAATCTGTATCTTATTAAAAACAAAATAAGGATAGGCGCAATGGTTCATGCCTGTAGTCCCAGCACTTTAGGAAGCCAAGACGGGCAGATTGCTTGAGCCCAGAAGTTCAATACCTGGGCAACATGGTGAAACCTTGTTTCTACAAAATAATACAAAAATTAGCTGGCTGTGTTTGCAGGCGCCTATAGTCCTGGCTGCTGGGGGGTTAGGAGGGCTGTGATGGGAGGGTCGCTGGAGTCCTGGAGGCAGAGGTTGCAGTGAGCCAAGATCACACCACTGCACTCCAACCTGGGTGACAGAGTGCGACACTATCTCAAAACAAAAACAACAAAAACAACAACAACAAAAACAACAACAAAACAAACCCATAATATCTACCACTTATTGCTTATTTACCACTTTTTGAGTACTTGCTGTGCTAAGTATTTTATACCCCTTGTATCATTTATTATTTAAAACATCACTATAAATTAGCTTTTATTATTAACTGTGTTCAGGCTGAGAATGAAATGGAATTTAAAGGCTAGTAGGTTATCCAAGGTCATAAAGATAATAAATGGCCAAAACAGATGTTCATCTAAGATATGTTTAACAGTAAGCCTATGTTCTCAACTATTGTACTAAAGATTGCAAATTGGAAGCCCAAGGGCAAGAGATAGTCTATCAATATTTTTTGTTTGACCTGTACATTATTGAAAAATTTAATTTCTTGAAATATTGTAAACTTTTTCTCCACGGAAACAGTCAACTAAATGGGCACTGCTCACTAGCCTGCCATGTTGTTTGTCCAACAGTGCAGTTAAGAAGAATATTTTCTTCAACACCTGTTTCTATCACAGATTAGGAGATGAATACTCAAGTAAGGGTCACATGTCTCACCAGACTTGTGTCACTTATAGTATCTGTGTGGTCCCTGTAGGGACTGAGCTCATTATCTCCACACCCATTTTAGTAAAAGAGTTAAAGTGAATAATTTTATAGCTGCTTCCACTTTCAAAGTGATATTTTCTAAAAGAACTATTTTTATTATTATATCCACGGTTTTGAAGAAATTATCTATTTGATACTTATTAGGGTGATTATAATGCAAACCTTCAAATTACTATGTATCTATATATATTTTGTCCAGCAAGATTGATCATGGATCTATTATGTTCATTTTCAACAACTGAATCATGATAATAGGTGGAAAATTGTACCGTAGGAAAATAAACTAGTGCAATAGAGGCCAATTTTTATGTACACGTCTATAAAACATGATATATTTTTAAATATCTATCCCCAATATTTCAAACTATTCCACATTTGACACCAATGGCTTTTACCTGTAGTTTCTCTGAATGCAAATGTATTGCATAAAATTGCTTAAAGTCCCTTTGATCTTTAGCTTTTCTTGGTATCTATACTCTAATTTTCCAATAATTAACTTTTACAAATGCATCGCAATCCATGGATTTGCCAAATATTAGAATGATTCCTTCTCATAAAATAGTGCCCTGTTAATTGAAACATCTCCAGTTGTAAGCTTCATTTAAATAAGGTTTTAGATTTATAAACACCATTGCACCTGTTGGGAGAAGCATTCTGTACAGATTAAATACAATGCAGAGATTGTCAAAAAGGAAAAGACAGATGCTTTCTGATTAAGAATGCAATATTTATGACAGTCTGGTGATCCAATGCACATTTCCTCTGTCACTTAGCAGCTGTTTTACATTTTTGTTTCAGATCAGTATATTTATTCTCTATAGGGCATGCCAGAGGGTCCTTCTTAGTATATCAAAAGAGCAATCCATGCCCTAGCAAGCTTCATATCACAAATTGAAGCTCTGATTCCTCACTCTGTTTAACCTTATGTTTTTTTCTCTTCTGCTTGAAACATTCTATTTTAAACCCAATTTACCTCTATAATAGAGCATTTAACATTTAAATAATAATGAGATAAAAGAGTATTATAGCTTTTATATAGCAGGAGTCATGGCATAATTGTTTCAATATCATTTAATAACCCAGGGGCAGAAATTCAAGTAGCATAGGTATTTTGAAACTCTTACTAATTTTTTTTTTAAAAACTAGATAACTCTGATACCAATTCTAATTTTTAAAGCAATATACAGCAGCATATAATTATGCCTCTCTGTGTGTGTGTGTGTGTACGTGTGTGTCAACTTTAACATTGAGGTAATTCTATGAGATAAAAGTAATAAAAGTAGTTCATTTGTGCAAACATAATACAGTCACAGTTTGACAATACACATATACACATGTTGGAACAGTGTAACTCATAGTTTTCTGCTGATTTTTCATGTTTTATTCTCAGTAGAATAATTTGTTACTTAAATAACATTACATTTTCTATTTGAAACTGAGTCATGATCAATGTTAGGTTAACAGAAATAGTTCCAAAGTCCATTAAAAGTTCTTGATTTAAGGAAACTAAATGGTTACATTTAGCTGTTTGTAGGTTCAAGTGATGTTTTGCAGTATCTGATGAAATCCCTTTAATGTGGGTAACTACAAAATTTATACAAAGTCACTTAAGAATGAGATTTTACCTTTTCTACTTCAACGTGTGCCAATTGAAAACAAGATGAAAAGGGGTTTGTTGGTGTTGTCTCTAGATCATTATCTTTCTTTGTAACTTATTTTTAAAAAATGTCTTAAAATATGGTATTTAGACATATGCTGTTATTATTTTCAGATCAGATTTGCTTCATTTAGTGCTGGGGTTCTCAACATTTTGGTCTAAAAATCCATTTACTCTCAAAAGTACCAAAGATTCCTCAAAAGTTTTGATTATGTGTTAATACCTACATAGTAGAAACTAAAAGTGAGAAAAATGCATAATATTTATTTTAAAATTATTTCATAGTATCAATAACTAAATTAGTATTACCTTATTATAATTATTATCAATATAAATAAATCTAATGCAAATTAATGAAAATAACTCATTTTATTTAAAAATATTAACCAAGAGAAAAATATAAATGAGAAGAGTGATGTTATTTTACAGTTTCAAAAATCTCTTTAAGAAAGGCTGAATAGGCCGGTCGCAGTGACTCACGCCT